TTGAATTGAATCAAATTGAATTGAATTATAGTCTAGAAACATTCAAACACTATGTGAGAAGATTATGTATAAAAGCCAGAACCAGAGCTGCTTCTGCTCGGTGTGGTTTGTAAAGAACAAGCAGCAGTAAATTTTTTTATGTTTTTGCACTGAATAAGCCACTGCATAGAGCACATGATGTCAAACAAAGAACAACATGTTTTGAAGGACAAACGAGGTTGTTTGAAAAGGTTTCAGAATCCTTTTTAAACGCTGTGGTGGATGTGGCTCTATCTTAAAATCAGACAGAAAAGCTGTTTCGTATAAACTGTGACGTTTTTGGTCTTTGTCTTATCTTTTTCCCTCCTTCCTTCCTTGGCTTCTTTTTGTTTGTACCATCTTTGTCTGTCAGTGCTAACCTTTGCACCACTGTGGCTCACACAAGACAAAATACATTAAAAGCTATTTATTTTCATTACAGACTCATTTCTTTGAACTCGGACGACCAGAAATGTGTCCATTTATCTCCCTTTTAACACTTGGGAATGCATACACACGTTTTAGCTTTCAAAAAGGTATACTGCCATCACATAATTAGTTTGACTTCTAGCAGTGTAGACAGTAACCTTTCATTCCTCTGGCTGTTGTGAATGCATTCTGTGTACTTATCGTCTTTTAGATAAAACTGCTTGCTAACAGCACATTTCAAACTTTTTCTCCATATTCTGATCGTGCTCTTGCCGTTGTTTAGAGTTTCAGCCCATGAAAGCTATGCAGCTGCCTTTAAGAGGCCACCAGGTGGAGGAGCAGCAAGCAGTGATGGTTTTGTAATCAGTTTTAAGTCTCCTGTCTACTTGAAATGTCTTTCACAGTGTGGACCAATTTCAAATCCGCAGCTTGTACTGGACAGTGCAGCTGATGCTGTGAGGAGTCCCCCTGACAGGCCCCGTGAGGCCACTCTGTACTAAGGGCTACTGCTCATTGTCATATAAATGAAACTGCTGGCTGCTCACCTATCTTTTGATCCATTGTGGTCTTGGTTCATTTGCTCACGCAGCTGGGCATGACTCAAAGGGACTAAGCAGGTTTCTATGTCACATGGATATGAATAAAACAAACATAAATTAAAACAGGAGCATGAAAAAAGGTAAAGCAAGAAATAGAAGGAAAAGTTAGAAGCAGAGATTTTTTTATTAGACATTAGGCTGTACCACAGCATAAATAAACCATTAACGATAGCGCTCTTCCGTGAAAGTATTTTTAGTGAGCCCACATGTACACAGCCTCCATATTGTTTTGGTGAAGCTGCTGATCATAATGCATCAGGACAGGAGGTCTGTTCACAAAGGATAACACTGCTGCATGCTCACTGCTTTTTACAAATGTTTTTTAGTTACATGTCTGCAATTTTTAGTGATAACATAATTTTTGAAGACACTATATTAATTATAGAAAAAACAGGAAGTTCAAACATTCGTAATTCATCTCATGTTAAATTTGATTTCCTGTAACATACCTTAAAAAGGTATATTGTTGAAAATCACAAAAAGTGGCTCATGTCTACAGGGAAAAGAGTTTGGTCAGGGCTACTGTACATATTTGTACAACAGATAAAAACAAACAACTTTAATAATTTATTTTCCTGGGAGCATCAGCAGGTATGTGTGCGCTGGCTCCAACTGTACAAACACACTCTCACAGAACAGACTGTATAAAAGATGCATGTAGCATCCTGGTCCAGAGAGTGAAGCCACAAAACCTTAAACTTTCATTCTGTGTGATGACCAGTGTTGGTCAAGTTACTTGAAAAAAGTAATTAGTTACTAATTACTGATTAACTCTCAAAGAAAGTAATCCCATTACTTTACTGATTTCACTGGCTTCAGTCTGACTGAAAAAGTCACTTGGATGAGTGACAAACGTTTCTCCCACAAAACGCTACGTCCAGATGAACAGAATCAACTTTTGGAGAATTTGTTACTTACTTTATTACTTTTTAAAAACATGATACACAACCTGAATACATAATAAAGCAACAGACCTTTCAGCCCAATTCTATTTTTCTGCATAATCCATCATATGAAATTGTTTTTATTAGTCTGAATCTTTTAACTTTATGCACATTGCATTAAGTAAAAATTTAATTTTATGCAACATTCTCTGTTGAACATTGTTAAACTTATTTTCTGCATATTCCAGATTATAAACTAAAATTATGTTTTATGTTTACATTCACTCTTTCAAATAGATTCAAGTAAAACACAGCAGAAAATAAATTAAATCAAAGATTTAGCAGGACTAAGTCCTGTCTCTTAAATCTATTGTCACCTGTTTAGCAGGAGTGGGGCGGGTGGAGGTTTGCCCGGTGCCACAGCGGTCATGTCAGTGGGAGGATCCGGGGGTTTCTCTGTGAATGTCACATTCCCGTGGCAGTGTGCTTGGTGCTCGCTCAGATTTGAAGTTAAATTTTTCGAGGTAGAAAAAAGTTTTCTTCCCACGCAGAGTGAACAGCAGACGCTGATGTTTTTGTCACTTTTTACAGAGTCAAACTCAAAGTAATGTCAGTACTTCCAAGCATTAAATGCTGCACGGTCGTACTCTCTCCTGCACTCCATATTATCCATTGTTGATCTGCACATGTCTGTTACCACGGACGTCGCACAAACAAAATTATGGTTTAGTAACACAGTAACGCAGCACGCTTACGGGAAAGTAACAGTAATCTAATCACTTGTTTTGCAATAGTAATACCTCATTTTACTCGTTACTTGAAAAAAGTAATCCGATTACACCAGCAACACATGACTTCTTCATTTTATAAAAGACCTGCGGGTGTACAGAAATTTATGAGAACATGACCCTCGACACCCTGGATAGTTAATCTGAAGAAACACTTTTCTTACAGATTTCAGTCAATAGTTTTAAGTCTTATTAAGCACAATATGATGTTCTTTTATATAAGATCTTGTTTATAGTCAAGGAGAAAGCTAAATCAGGGTATGGTGACTGGAGAGTCACCGTTTTTAATTTAAAACAATTACAAACTCATTTTTGCACTCTCTCAGATTCCTCCATCATCTGATGAAAAGGTTTTGTCTGTAGCTCTAAGTGAAATCTGTGGATAGCTAACTGATGCTGACCAACCCCTGCACCACATCCTGGACATCCAGCTAAACACGTCACCTGTAATATCCATTTGACCAAGATGCAAGATGGCAACAGTGAAAACTCTCAGCTCAAGGCTTCTCAACAGGGCTTCACTAGTTCCTGTGACACTAGAGTAAAAATAGGATGGTAACCTGCTTGTGACTAGGAAAAATTGGTGGTTGCCTGGTGACTGCTTTCATTTTTTTCACTAATTACAAGCATTTACAGAGACCAGATGTTGAGCATGCAACACTGTCAACCCTCTGGTGGGAGGCAACCATAGACAGTATTAAATTCTCCGGATGTGCTGTCCCCATCTTAGTAGCAGATAACACAGACGTGACGATGAGCAGTGGGTCTAACTGTGAAACTGCATATTTATTGACTAATGACTTGTGATTGGCAAGTCATCAGCCAAAGAGCATGTGGTTTTATGCCACAGACCATTCTCAGACAATTCTTGAAACATAATATGACCAAGATTTAAGCATTTATTTATTTATTTTTTATTCAACTTGACCCAAAACAAATTACGGAGCCCATAAATTCATCAGGAAAGTGTTTTTATAGAGATAGAGACAGAAACTGTTTTTTCTATTCGACTACAGGAAAAAAAAAAAGCTTTTGCAACCACAGTGTTTGTCACAGCATCAGGTCTTTGACTGTACTGTTTGTAAAAAGGAATTTATATTTCAGATCTCTGAGGTTCTGGCTGGACTCTGAATGTAAGCAGTTAACGTGAATGTCTGTGTAACAGATTTGTGATTTTGGTATATTTATCAGTTAATTACTGTAATATCGCAAACAGATTTAATGTAACTGCCAACTTGACCCCATTCAATCACAAACTGATTGCAGACTGAAAGGCGACTGAGTCATTCGCATTGCTGTTCTTTCGCCATCTCGATGCAGCAAGGTTACTTTGAAGTTGGCAACTGATTCAAACAGTTGCAGACCTCAACCTCCTATATGCTGTGCATGCTTTGTATTCTGGGATTCAGCAAGGTACTACATGCATGAAAAGATCTGTTGGGCTAGCAAAAAGCCATGAAATGAACTTAAACTCTCCATGTTCTCTGATAGTTCTGAACACAACACCTTTTTCCTGTTTTCACTTTTACTCCTCCTGCCCCAGACACATCTGTCCCAAAAACCAGACTGAATTTCTAATGTAGTTTTAAGTGATGCATTTTGGTTTGCTTGGATTTCTCGCTGTGAAAAGAAACCAAATCACAGTAAAAACCGAATCAGACCAGACTAAATGAACTATAGGTGTGAAAACGCCTCAAGTACTGAAACTAACTCAGTATGAGCTAAGTATAGTGTGATAAATGTCAATACATTTGGCGCAATAAGATATTGTGACCTAACCTACAATCTTGTGTTGCATTTCTTTTATTATAACATCAATAGCAGCACAAAAGTGTAGCGCGTTGCTTCTAAGCCTATCTGAGTTGAGCAGAAGCTCAGCACACCTAAACAGAATGCAGCCATCATTCATTATTTTGATTCCAGCTCTGCATTTCCTGCTTTGATGTAAAATATTATAAGAAAAAAGATCAGCTAATGTTAGTCCGTCTGTGCAGGACTATGTCTGCTCTAGAAAATAAGATCTAAGTATGCTTTAAGGAGATCAAATAGATATCAGTGAAACTGGAAACTGCATTTCCTAATTTATAACAGCGCCACGTCCATAAAGTATTCAGACCATCTCCTCATCTCAGCTAATCTTCTGCTGCTGTCTATAAGAGACACAATGTCTTTCTCTTCCACTTCAAACACTTCAAGTGTGTCACTGGGCTCTCCTGTACCAAATATAGGTTAACACACATGCCCCCCCCCCCCCCCCTTTTCGGATTATACCGTCACACGGAATGAATATGAACTTGTGCGATGAAAACTGGAGATGAATGCTTCATCTCTGACCCACATAATGGCGATATATCAGGCTGGGTAAACGGATCTGAGCCGTGTTACCGCCTGCTCCTCCGCTGTGAGCTCCCGGTGCGGTGGGAGCTTTTAGCGGCGCGCCTCGTCTCTCATCTTCCTCCGCCTGGACCTGACTCTCCTCTTCCATCCTCTCTTCCTCTCTCCCTCTTTCCATCTCGGTACCAGAGGGAGGAGAGGAGGGAAAAACTGAGGCGACACACGCCGGGAAAAGGGGCGACGGAAACGGGAAAAGTAAGTAGCTCCGGAGGGGGAAATGAATGGAAGCGTTATCGCTCTCCCTGATAGACGTGACTCCCGGCTCAGTTGGGAAGTAATGCTGGTACTTTAGCTAGCGCCGTTTCAGGACTCGTTCCATTATTCAGGCGACACGATGGAAACCTCGAGAAAGTTACCTGCTCTTAACTTCAGCTAGTGGCTGTGATTTGGGTATAAGTAGGCTAGCGGCTCCATAGTGTCCGGTAGGCTAACACAAAAACTATTTTAAGAGAACCTCACACATTCATTGTCCCTTGAGAGTAACTGTTGTGTTAACTGAGGTGCTTTTATGTCTTATACCAAACTTATTACTTCTTCCAAACCCTGACTTTACACATTGAAATATAGTTTCTTGTACATCCTTAAGCTAAAAAACAGCACTTGTCTAATGGTTGTTCAGAGATTTGAAGAAAGGGGAGATATTGGTGATATAGCACTAAAGAACAGCACAGAGTAACAGTGAATGAGAGTCCAATATTATTTAAAAAGTAATGTAGTGAAGCCATGGGCAGCAGAGTGGAAACCTGTGCTGTAAGGTGCACATTCATAAAACAATATACCCCAAGTTGCCAATTTATTGGATAAACTTGGTTAGAACTGATGCAGGCTAAAGAAGAAGCGGTGGTTCAGAGGTGGTGGTGCCTGGTTTCTTTAGCATTTATGAACAGCCTGTTTACTTGTTGTCAAATGGGGCCAGTGTAAAAAATATGTGGTGCAAGCAGTCTGTGGGCTACTGTTGCTTGTGCTGCTGTTGGGCCATCAGCCAGTCGGAGAGAAGAGCAAAGTTATAACCTACAAAGGGGTGAAGAGAAACAAAGTGTTAAAAACAATGAAAAGTGTCCAGTGCAGTCACAGTGTGTTCGAACTGTATTTTTTTAAATATTTGATGTGTTGTTTTGTGTGCTTCTCCCATTCCTGGTGAACTCTGCTGTTCCCTTCCCTGTTGTGGCCCACTTGTCAACCAGTCAGCGTTCGACAGCTGCACAGCATCATCCATGTTTAGCAAAGTGCAAAAATCAGAAAGTCCTTACTGTCCCTGTATTTAGGAATACAATGAAATTTGAACTTCTGCTCCTATTTGCTGCAGTAAAATAAATAAACACATGTAAACATAACAAACAGTTTTCATATTACACATAATAATATGCATAATGCATGAATTAGCATCAAGTGCAAGATAAACATGCTAGATAAAAAATGGGAGTTATTTGGGGATTTTGAAGAACTGTACAGGAGCAGGTTTGCATCATTTGAAAACCCCTCTCCATAGACAAATACCTACTCAGACAGAGTTGCCATACACACACAGGCCTGCCAAGCTAAAGGTTATGAGGGTATGGACTGGGGATTCTTATAGATGACTATAACTAGTGGATGAAATGTTACTATACTAGTAGTACACTTCTCTTGCACTTCTCTAATTAGTTTTAACCTAAAGCTGTACACTCAAACCTCCATCAAGGTATGGTTAATGTTGAGGTATTATTAGGTTCCCATAAAGTTGTAACTGACTTGGACTGTTTACCTGTTTTTTCAAAGTTCACTAGTTCTCTTTCCCCAAACTTTTTCCACAGTCTGTGAAATAATGATTGATGATGATGGATCCATTGTTACAGTCCTCATGACAGTGATGACAGTGAATATAACGACCTTCCAGGCCTTATCTCAAAAGGTCACTTACTCAATATTCACCACGCTTGTCTGTCTTCAGTCTGTCTAGGTTCAGGCTCAGCACAGATGTAAAGGAGGAAGAATGACATTTCTTTCTCTTCCCCTCTCCCCCAGGGAGATTGTCACTCTTCTGCTTTTACTCTTTGCTCCAAAGTTGGAAATTCTCAGCTCAGCTTACACTTACATAAATGTCGAAAAACCCCAGGAGAAACATTGGTCCCTTTGCTCAGTGTTAACTACTGTTTCAAGTCTAACAACTACCATGTCAATTGGCAGAAGACAATTTATTTAAAGAGTGATCACCCCTTGGTGGCCATTGAAGAGGCTGCAAGTTTAGGCTTGGTCACGCAGGTCACATGGGCCCAGAGACTAGCTGACGAACCCTGCCAACCCAGACACTAGGGAAAAATGTGTGTTCCTCGACCGGTTGGGAAGTAGTTGCTGGAGGTTACTGGTTGCTGCCAGGTAAAATCTGTTGCAAGAAAGGTGCTGCACCAAAGACCATCTTGTAATTGCTTTGGTTGCGAGCAGATTACAGTGGTTGCCGATAGTTTGCGTAGAAGATGCCAACTTGTCTGCAAACACTCAAAAACTAACCACAGAGGTGTAGTGAATCTTGTATTGTGTATTATATTGCAAACCTGAAACAGAGACTGTTCCTCGTCAAAGTACAAATGTGCCTTACTAAAGAAATCAGCACATTTCAACTTACAACTTTTAGTTTGAAGGGAAGCATTCTCAGTTTCCAGTTTGCGCAACCACTCCAGTCAATGACCAAAGCAATTGCAAGGTGGTTTTTGTTGCAGGACCTTATACCTTTTCGTGACCAATTTCAGCTATCAACTGCCAGCAACATCCTGCAACCACTTGCCAACCAGTTGCCCTTCACTTAGCTACAGCTTGTTAAAGGTTAGGCCATTATTTTGTTACAATACCATTTTCAATCCCACAGTAAGACTTTGACCCCATCCTGTAACAAGAGAAACTATAGTAAAGAGATAATTTCTTCCAAAATTAACATAATTTTCAACTAATTCTTCCAATTATAAGTTAGATTTTAAAAAATAAGAAAGAAAATTTCATTACACATCCTTAAGGTAAAATATATTTTAGAATCTACTAATAAACTAAGAGTATAGCAAACAACACAATACATTTAATTATTTAATTATTGTAGAAGAACCCCAAAAGGTTGATTCTGTTCATCTGGACTTATAAACAGTTTGGGGAAACCTGATTTCCCCATGGACATGATCAGTGATCTTTGATCAGTGTTTGTTAGTCAGTGGTCATGACAACCCATTGTTCATTAAGGGGGCTGGTTTTAGTCATTGTGCAAATGTACTGTTTATAAGGTTGGGGAAACCTGCAGTCAGCTGAGACTGAAGAAGTCACTTGGATGAGTGACGAAACGTTTCTCCCACTGAAAACGCTACGTCCAGATGAACAGAATCAACCTTTTGGGATTAACTCACCTGGATGAGCATGTATTAAGATACTGTCGAAGAAGAACATTATGGAAAAACTTGACTAAAATTGAGTTTTAGTTACACTAAAATAAACAAGTTTACTGTTTATTGTAAAACTGAAAATTTAAGGTTTATCATCTTATTAACATCTGCCTGCAACCTCTTTCTTATCCACCTGTCATGCTTCTCCCTGAATCTGCAGCCTTTTACTTCCTCAGCTCTGCTCTTCAGGCCTGAAACCCATCTGATTTCTGCTCTGCATTTTACTCTTTATTTGCTCAGATCAATTCTCCACACGCTATGTTTTCCTTGCTGCTCCACAGAGCCAGAACCACACCACACCGCAGATTAAAGACACACGTCCTTCGTGTGTCTTTAATCTGCTCTGTCACGGCTCAATGTTCCATCTGTGGCCTGCAGTCCACTAGCTACTACGTTAGTGATAACTGATGACTAATTTTGCTATCGGATAATTGCTAATAGTTAAAAAACTAACTTAAATGTGTGCATCAGCCAGGTTAACATTTCTGATTACTGTTTAATACTTCAATGTTGTTGAAACCGGAGCTTTACTGACCTCTTTAAATTAATGCTACTGTGTTGTTCAGTGTTATGAATATTAACTACTCTGTGCCTGTCTGTGTGCAGCAGTGCTGTAAAGTTATGTGTCAGCTGGAGGAGGCAAAGATGGCACTGTTAGCATCAATATTGTTGCAAATGAAAATAGTAATTTGATATTAATTTTAGCATTGATTCACATCTGAGCATAGATTTTTTTTTTTGACAACTCATCTGTAAGTGTCCATTGTAGCCAGCCAGGGACCAGTGAACTTAATCAATGGAAAGCCCATCACATGCCCAAATGGCCTGCAAATGGTCAGTCCACTTGCCTAACATGCTATTTTAATGGTCCCTACTAAACAGACAAATGAGTTTGAGTTGGTGCAATCTTTGAACAGGTCATGAAATCTGAGGATTGTATAAGACAGTGAGGTGCAGAGTTTTAAAGTGCCAACTTCTTGACTTCACAGGTGAGGCTGAGAGATTACCCAGAGCTTCCTCTGTGGGATTCCAAACTGAAGGTAGTGCCATTAGTTTTCTTCTAGCTGGAAGGCCTCACCTCCAACACCTCTGCTTTTCTTTCACTACACCTTCTCTTCCTGCTCGCATCTTTTCCTGTCTACACATGCATTGATTGGTTCCTTGTGTGCGCACACCCACATGCTCAGACACACACATAAATAGCATTTCAGCCAATTGTTGTGCATAGCTCGCAGTGGTGCATTATGTTAAATCAATGCCTGCCTTGCTGTAACACCAGCACACCCATTATTCGTAAGACAAACTAAGGACAGAGCTCCTTCCTATTGATGTTAGCAAGAAATTTACAACTGATAATACTGTGTGTGCACACATGTGTGCGTCAGTGTGTGTGTCAGTCAGTGAGTGCTGTTGGGATGATGAGCCATCATCCCAACAGCCTGACAAGGCAAATGGCACTTAAAAATATCAGTCTGGCAGTAGGTCTCCAAAGTCACAGTTTTGTTTGACAGCTGGTAGCACATGCTTTGGGTGATATGGTTGTGTTACAAAACACACAGTAAACATGTATGTCTATGCAGAGTGAACTATTTTACATTGTTCACCAGCTGTATGAAGAAACTCACCAAATGAACAACAGATAATAACATTTTGCCTAAAATCAATGTAACAGTGAATAGTCTCATTAGTTTAGTTTCAGCACAGAGTCAGTCTTTTTTGTCATTTTTGCTGTGAAGTAAACAAAAATTCATTTGCAGGTAACATTTCTTTAACTTGATAGTAACAGTAAGGACACTGTACTCTGTAAAAAAAAATCCTACAAAAACAGTAATATTCTGGCAGCTGGGGCGCCAAAATAATACCAGAAAATAACAGAAAATAACTTTCCCATGAAAATACGATTATTTTCAGTAATGACAATACAGTTTGTTGCCCTAATTTTACATGGGATTTTGCCTTTTTCAAGTGCTTTTAAACATTAAATTA